CTTGAACTCTGGGCGCTGTCCCTCAGCTCTTCAGCTCAAGGCGAGCGAGTGCTCTACCACTTGAGCCACAGCACCACTTCTGGTTTTCTGGTGGTTCATTGGAGATCAGAGTCTCATAGATTTTCCTGCCCTGGCTGGCTTCGAACTTCGAGTCTTAGATCTCAGCCTCCTGAGTAGCTAGGATGACAGGCAACAGGTGTGAGACTCTGGCGCCCAGCTATGCATTGTGCCTTTTACTAAGGAATGTCATCTACCAGGACCAACGGAATGCTGCCTCCTTGGGTCTGTTTTCCAAATTTGCCATCTGGGGATCACCAGCAGAGGGCACCAATGCCCAGCCACGGCCTTGGGGACTCAGGGTAAACCGTGGCTGCCCTCAAGTGGTCCAGAGGGTAATGAGTACTGAACCAGAAGAATGCGGTAACTTGAGGAGGGCCTGCGATATAGCACGTGTGTGTGTGTGTGTGTGTGTGTGTGTGTGTGTGTGTGTGTGTGTCCCCATCCTGGGACTTGAACTCTGGGCCTGGGCGCTGTCCCTCAGCTCTTCAGCTCAAGGCAAGCGCTCTACCACTTGAGCCACAGCGCCACTTCTGGCTTCTTCTGCTTAGATGGTGCTGAGGAATCGAACCCAGGGCATTGTGCATGCAAGGCAAGCACTCTAACGCTGAGCCAGCTTCTAGCTCTCCTACTTCTAGCGTTTTTGGTCATTAATTTGAGATCTCACAGACTTTCTTGCCCGTACTGGCTTTGAACTTGAATCCTCAGATCTCAGCCTCCTGAGTTAGCTAGGATGACAGGCAGAAGACACCGGCGCCCAGTGACATTTGTTATTTTTGAGTGAGTTCATTTGCATGCACAGGCTGGTGAGGCTGTGGAAATTTGGGTTGACAATTTTAAAAAATGGAAACAAAAAAAAAAAGGAAACGAAAGTAACAAGAATGGCCTCTCCCTCCCTCAACCAACATGTTGGGATGCAGGAATGAAAGCTAAAATGTTCAATGCTTAGTTAACTATGAAGGTCATAACCAATGAATATCTTTTTGTCAGTTGTGGGGCTTGAATTCTGGGCCTGGGCGCTGTCCCTCAGCTCTTCAGCTCAAGGCGAGCGCTCTACCACTTGAGCCTCAGAGCCACCTCTGGTTTTCTAGTAGTTCATTGGAGATAAGAGTCTTAACAGACTTTCCTGCCCGGGCTGGCTTTGAACTGTGATCCTCAGATCTCAGCCAGTCATGGTGCTTGAACTCAGGGCCTGGGCACTATCCCTGAGCTTCTTTTGCTCAAGACTAGGACTCTACCACTTGAGCCACAGCGCCATTTCCGGCTTTTTCTGTTTATGTGGTGCTGAGGAATTGAACCCAGGGCCTCATGCATGCTAGACAAGCACTTTACCGCTGAGCCACCTTCCCAGCCAATCACGCTATATTTTCATCTGCTCATTTCACCCAGAATCCCCTGAGTGAATGTTGACCAGACCAATACTCACTCCCTACTGCCACGCTCTGCCTTTACCTCTGCTCTCTGGCCTCTTCCTCAGATGTAAGGGATCATGGGAAGGAATGGAAGAGAGGAGGAAATCACCCAGGGTCTTAAAGCCCTCTAAAAATGTCCCCACCCCAAGTTCCAGGCAGACAAAAAAAAAAAAGAGGGGAACCTATTGCTCTTGCTCCTATGGTTCAGTATGGAAGTTAACACAAAGAACTGAGAACCTCTGCTGAGATCTGACAATCCAGTTCAAAGCCAGCCTGGGTAAGAAATAAGAAAATCCATGAAACTCTTAGCTCCAATGAATCACCAGGAAACCGGAAGTGGTGCTGTGGCTCAACGTGGTAGAATGGTAGCCTTGAGCTGAAGAGCTCTGGGACCAGGCAGAGAGAGAAAAATGGGAACTTCTGAACCTTTGGAAGAAAGTTCAGTTTTGGGGACCCTCAAAAGATAAAGCTGAGAAATAGGAACCGAGGATGGGGGTGGGAGAAGGTAATGTCGGACCCAAGAAGAACATGGAAACCAATCTTGAAACCCTTAGAATGCTTGCCAAGAGGTTGAGTTGTTTTTCAATTCACATGAATTAGTGGTTTAGTACTGTTATTGAGGCTTGGACTCAGGGCCTCTTGCTCTTGTTTGTCTTTTTTCCACCATACCTCCACTCTGGCCCCTTTCCCTTTTTCTTTTTGCTGGTTAATTAGAGAAAAGTGTTTCACAGACTTTTCTACCCAGACTAGCTTTGAATGTCGATCTTCAAATCTCAGCCTTCTAAATAGTTCAGATTCCAAGCATGAGCCACCAGTTCCTGGCGCCGATTTTTTTTTTTTAAAGAAAAGTTACTTAATTCTTTCTGGGGAAAAAAAAATAGTATATGCTCCCTTTAAACAGTTGGGGCTTTGCAGAGAAGCACCAAAAAGAAAATCAAAGTATTGCCTCAAGTTTCAGGATACAAATTTAACCATCATTAACATTTCTGGTACAGCATGCTAGACATATTTCTATGCATTTTTTTACAGATAGAAAGATAGAAATATACCATATGTCTATTTTTTTAAGTGAAGGTTTAATTTTACTTGAGTCTAATTGAAGAAAATGCATCTGAAGTAAAAACGGAAGTTCTAGAACTTTACATATATATATATCCTCACCAAAAAAAAGAGATATATGTATATATATACTTATTTTTCACCCTCTTGGAAGATCCTTCTAAGTTTAGGAAAAACGGAGGGTAACATTTAAAAGTAAATAGCCTTTAATCTCACGGAATCTGGAGAGAGTTTGCAATCTATTGCTATTTGGGGGGCTGGGAAGGTGGCTCAGTGGTAGAGTGTTTGCCTCGCATGCATGAAGCCCTGGGTTCGATTCCTCAGCACCACATAAACAGAAAAGCTGGAGTGGCGCTGTGGTTCAAGTGGTAGAGCGCTCGCCTTGAGCTGAAGAGCTGAGAGACAGTGCCCAGGTCCAGAGTTCAGGCCCCACAACCGACAAAAATTAATTAAAAATGTTATTTTGGTGTGTGTGTGTGTGTTTGTGTGTGTGTGTGTGTGTGTGTGTGCTGGTTACTGGGGCTTGAATTCAGGTCCTTAGCGTTTTCACTCCAGACAGACACTCTACCACTTGAACCACGGCTCCACTTTCGGCTTTTCGCTGCTTACTGGGAGAAGAGAGTCTCATGGACTTACCTGTCCTGGCTTGCTTAGAACTTAAGTTTCCTCAGATTTCAGCCTCTTAAGTAGCTAGGATTACAGGTGTGACCCACCCGCACTGCATTTTTCCAAAACATTTCATTCAATCTCTCCCCACTCTACCCTCCTGTCCGAAGGACGAAAAACAACACCCTGCAGTATTCCTCCCGAACAGGTTTACTCAGGAGAACACAAATTGGCTTAGACAGGAAAGCCAGCAAGGCAGAGGCCTGCTAGCCCCACTGAGACAGGCCCAGCAGAGGGGAGGAGCCTGTGGCAAGCCCCACCCCCCACCCCCATCTCTGGTTCCCCAGGGAGGGGAACTTCCAGGTGAGGGAGACACAGCTACAGCTCTTGTCCTTCCAATTCTGCTCTGGCCTTCTCCAGGGAGGCTGGCTGGGGCCTCCTCCTCCTCCTCCACCCTTTCCTCCCTACCCATGAGGCAGAGCGTCTATTCTGCTGCTGTTCAGTGGAGGAGCCCTGGGCTCCCTGCCACTTCATTGGCCCTCAGGGCCCTGGGGCCCAGGCTGCGGGTGGAATCCCCACCTTCCCAGCTGGCTTTGGCCACAGCCCAGACTCCCTGGAGTTCTGTCCTGAAAAGAGATGAGCCGCAGAAACATAAAATCAAGTTCTCCCACCGTGAAGGGCCCCCAAAATGAGGCCGACTGAGGGGTTATAACTTGACCGGGGCCCTGGAATCTTTCTTGTTTTATCAATCATGGGGCTTGAACTCTGGGGCCTGGGCGCTGTCCCTGAGCTCTTCAGCTCAAGGCGAGTGCTCTACCACTTGAGCCACAGTGCCACTTCCGGTTTTCTGGTGGTTCACTGGAGAGAAGCATCTCAAAGAACTTTCCTTGCCCAGGCTGGCTTTGAACTGCCATCCTTGGATCTCAGCCTCCTGAGTAGCTAGGATGACAGGTATGAGCCCTCACCGGTGCCTGGCTTGGAATCTCTCTTGACTGATCATTTATGTCTAGCAATGGTGGCTCACACCTGTCATCCTAGCTACCCAGAACGCTGAGATCTGAAGACTGAGGTTCAAAGCCAGCCCAGGAAGCAAAGTCTACCAGACTCTAATTGCTAATCAGCAGCCGAAAAGCTGGAAGTGGAGCTGTGGCTCAAGTGGTAGAGTGCTAGCTTAAGTGGTAGAGTGTTAGCCTTGAGCACAAAAGCTCAGGGACGGTACCCAGATCCTGTGTTCAAGCCTCAGGACCAAAAGAAAAACAAACAAAAAGACTAATTATGACATTAGGAGCAGGGACCTAGAATGGACCCCTGGGTCCAGAAACTAATAGACTATACTAAAGGAGACTTTCTGGGGGAAGACAGAAATGTAAGGGCCTGGAGCTTCCTCCATAAATGGGGCTTGAACTCAGGTCCTGGGCACTGTCCCCGAACTTCTTTTTGCTCAAGGCTAGCACTCTACCACCTGAGCCACAGCACCATGTCTGGCTTTTTCTTTGTCTGCTCTTCAGCTCAAGGTGAGTGCTCTACCACTTGAGCCACAGCGCCACTTCTGGTTTTCTGGTGGTTCATTGGAGATCAGAGTCTCTCAGACTTTCCTTTCCTGGGCTGGCTTTGAACCACGGTCCTCAGATCTCAGCCTCCCGAGTGGCAGGCGTGAGCCTCTGGCGCCTGGCTACTTCTAGCTTTTTCTGTGTATGTGGTACTGAGGAATCAAACCCAGGGCTTTAGGCCTACACTCTCCCCAATGAGCCACCTTCCCTCCGGGGGGCCCCCCCGTAAATGAAATCTCCAATCTGTGATCAGTAGGGTCTTTATTGGGAGAGAGATCCAGTCTCCTCGGCTGCGCCAGCACCCCCTACACCTCCTTTAGGTCATAAGGATTTCAATGTCCAGCTCCAGCCGGCTGGCTTTGACCTCGTAGCGGCCCTGGATGAGGCCCCGGGTCTGGCGGCTGTACCATCTCCAGTGAGACTGGATGACGCAGGCCGCCTGGCGAACTTGGAGGAACCACCTGCGGGCCTGACACATCCGAACCTGAGCCTGCATCTTCACCACCGCCCATTCCTGGCAGGAGTAGAGTCTTAACGCTAGGCGGCGTCTTTGCTCCATCGCCTTGGCCTGCAGGGACCTCCACCAGCATTGGATCACCCAAGCCCTGAGGGCCGCGTGCAACAGTGTCCGGCGTACCACGATACCTCGCCACCATGACTGGATCTTGATGGCTGTCTTCTCTAACTGATGAAGAGTAGGAGGAAGAACATGGAGACGCTCAGCAGGGCTATTCTGGCTATTCTGCCAGTCCTGGGGCTTGAACTCAGGGCCTAGGCACCGTCCTTGAGTTTTTTACTCCAGGCTAGCCGCTGTACCATTTGAGCCACAGCGCCATTTCCAGTTTTCTGAGTGGTTTATTGGAGATCAGAGTCTCATGGATTTTCCTGCCCGGGCCGGCTTTGAACCATGATCCTCAGATCTCAGCCTCCTGAGTAGCTGGGATGACAGGCATGGCCATTGGTACCTACCTCGCTCGATGTTTTTGTTCGAGGTCAGCACTCTACTACTTGAGCCACGGTTCCACTTGTGGCTTTTTAGTAGTTCACTGACAATAAGAGTTTCCCAGCCTTTCCTGCCCCTGATGGGCTTCAAACCATCATCCTCAGATCTCAGCCGCCTGAGGAGCTAGGATCATAGATGTGAGCCACCAGCATTCAGGGGCTCTATTTATTTCCCGCTTCCACTCACCTTTAAATATTGCTCATCATCTGTTGGGTGGGCCTCTCCTGCAATGGTCGTACTCACAATGTTCGTGGTCATGGCCCTGGTCTTTGGAGTCCACTCATTTATCAGGTAGGCCAGCTTAGTCTTCAGCCCCGCCTTCAACTGTTAGCCACACCCCCATCTTTGGACTCCGCCCACTGGCACTCAGGATCCACCTTCACAGGCCCTGTCTGTCTTTTGTAGCCTGTTGCTGTGTCTCCATAAGGATTAACAGCTACTGACCACTAGATTCCCATCAGGCCTCGGGGTGGGCTACAGTTATATCCCTTGATTTCTGTTTATTTCTCAGACCCAAGGGTCATCTGAAACCTTGCTCTTTCTTTTATTTTTGTGGGTCGTGAGGCTTGAACTCTGGGCCTGGGCGCTGTCCCTCAGCTCTTCAGCTCAAGGCAAGCGCTCTACCACTTGAGCCACAGCGCCACTTCCAGCTTTTGCTGCTTGTGTGGTGCTGAGGAATCGAACCCAGGGCCTCTTACATGCGAGGCAAGCGGTGTACCACTGAGCCACCTTTCAGGCCCCTTAAACCTTGCTCTTTCTACACTTTGTCATCATTTAATTCTGTTCCTCCTGGTGCCATTGGAGGGTCACACAAGAAGTAAAGAGTCTTATTTGGAGCTGGGAAGGTGGCTCAGGGACTGGGAAGGTGGCTCAGTGGTAGAGCTCTTGCCTTGCATGCATGAGGCCCTGGGTTCGATTCCTCAGCACCACATAAGCAGAAAAAGCCGGAAGTGGCGCTGTGGCTCAAGTGGTTAGAGCTCTAGCTGAAGATCTGAGAGATGGCGCCCAGGCCCAGAGTTCAAACCCCACTACTGACAAAAAAAAAAAAGAAGGTCTTGTTTGTTTTGCCATTCCTAGGCCTGAATTCAGGGCCTGAGTGCTGTCCTTGAGCTTTTATGTTCAAGGCTGGTGCTCTACTACTTGAGCCACAGCTCCAATTCTGCCTTTTTGGTGGTTCATTAGAGATCAGAGTCTTACACGGACTTTCCTGCTCTATTGGCTTTGAACTTCGATCCTCAGATCTCAGCCTCCTGTCAGTTGACTTTTTTTCTTTCTCTAGACATTGTCATTTTCATCTCTTGGAAGTTCAATATGGGTCCGTTTTAAATATCTTCCATACCTCTATATTTAACTTTTTGACCATATGGATTTCAGTTACAGTAACTACTTCAGTGTCCTTGTCTTGTGAGTCTTGATATTTGGGTCAGTTTTGATTGACTGCTTTCCACCCACGCCACACATGCATTGCACTTGGCATCCTCCTATCTCTTTGTAGGTCTGGGAATTTTTGAGGAGATGCCAGACACAGAATTGTATTTTGTGGGATGCCAGATATTCTGGCGTTCCTATAAATAGTCCTGTCCCTGTCCCTCTGTACCTAGAAGACCACAGTTGAGTTACTTGAAAACCATTGGACCAGCCCGGTGCTGGTGGCTCACGCCTGTCATCCTAGCTACTCAGGAAGCTGAGATCTGAGGATCACGGTTCAAAGCCAGCCCGGGCAAGGTAAGTCCATGAAACTCTTATCTTGAATAAACCACCAGAAAACCAGAAGTGGCGCAGTGGCTCAAGTGGTAGAGCGCTCACCTTGAGGTGAAGAGTTGAGAGACAGCACCCAAGCCTATGACCCTCCCGCCCCCCCAAAAAAAGACAAATGGAGTTGGAGCTCAAATGGTACGGCACCAGCCTTGAGTCAAAAAGCTAAAAGATAGGCCCAGGCACTGAATTCAGCTCTAGTACCTGCACACACACACACACACAAGTACGTGTACACACGTATATGCACACACACACACAATTACGTATTTCCTGTAAACAGGATTTTTGTGTGTGTGGTTTTGGTTGTTGTAGAAATTTGAGTCAAATTTGGTTCAGCCTAGATACAAGTTATTGTTTGCGATGGAGTCTTTCTTTTTGCCTGGGATTACAGGCATGAACCACTATACCCAGCCTGCCTTCCTTTTTATATCTGGCAGAGTCTCACTGTGTTTTCTAGGCTGGCTTTGAATTCTACATCCTTTCCCTACCCCAAATAGCTAGGATTATAGGCATGCACAACCATGCCAGGCTGGGAATAATTCTGCAGGGGGAAAAAAAACCCCACAGAATTGCTAAAGCAAAGGGGCTGTGCATTTTCAGTTTTGGTAGGTATTGCCAAATTGCTATCCAAGAAATTTTTGCCGATTTACATTCTATTATCATATAGTACTATTTTTCTCCTCACTTGCCAGTACAAATGACCTGTCACCAATATGTTCATTTATTCTTTTATGTATAAGTTCAAGCAAGTGTGCATATGTTCAGAATATTTTTCTCCAGCTGTTTTCTTTTTCTTTTTCTTTTTTTTTTAGTGTTGTTGTTGGTGGTGGTTGGTTGAACTCAGGGCCAGTGTACTGTCCCTGAGCTGTGTGTGTGTGTGTGTGTGTGTGTGTGTGCGATGGAGCTTGAACTCTGGGCCTGGGCACTGTCCCTGAGCTCTTCTGCTCAAAGCAAGTGCTCTACCATTTGAGCCACAATTCCACTTCCACTTTTCTAGTCGTTAATTGGATATCAGAGTCTCATGGACTTTCCTGCCCAGGCTGGCTTTGAACTGCAATCCTCAGATCTCAGCCTCCTGAGTAGCTAGGATGAGAGGCGTGAGCCTGGTGTGCCCAGCTTCTACTCTGAAGCTGTGTGCTCATGGTTATTGACTAAAAGGGTGGTTTTTCTTCTGTTTTGTGCTACTTTGAGATAAGTCTTGGTTGAATCTTTTGCCCTACAGTGATCTCGTGGTGTGGAGTTTTAACTCAGTTGTCTTAGTTATTAACTTCAATGGCTGCTGAAACTTGAAAAGGCTCTTATTAAGGCCTGAAACTGGACTTGAACACTGATAGCTAGTACTCCTAGCTACTCAGAAGGCTGAGATCTGAGGATCATGGCTCAAAGCCAAGTCTGGGCAGAAAAGTCCATAGAGACTCTTGTCATCAATAAACTAGTTTAAAAAACAAAACAACCAGCAGTAACCAGGCACTGGTGGCTGATGCCTGTAAACCTAGCTACTCAGGAGGACATCTAAAGGATTGAGGTTCAATCCTTAGATTGAACCTGCCTAGTCCCCAGGAGACTCATCTCCAATCAACCACTCAAAAACCAGAAGGGGTGCTATGGTTCAAGTGGTAGAGTGCTTGCCCTGAGCATGAAGAGGCTCAGGGACAGCATCCAAGGCCTGACAATGGACAAAGAAACTGCCACAAGTGGAGGTATGCCTCAAATGGTAGAGCCCCAGCCTTGAACAAAAAAAGCCAAGCAAAAGCACGAGGGCCTGAGTTCAAGTCCCACTACCAACACGCTAAAATAAATAATAATAATAATACCTGCAACTTAGAGGGAAGGCAATTTGATTGGTTTCTTCATTCAAGACATTTACTTTCCAGTCATAGTCTTCACTTCCTGGCTAGGCTGCCTGGAAACCAGGATCCTCAGATCTCATCCTCCTCAGTAGCTAGGATGACAGGCAGGAGTCCAGGGTACTGAGTAATCTTTAGGTTTTTTTAATAAGTGGATTTTTTAAGTAGTGAAGGGATTATATTTCCAACACTTTAGGTCTTCAGCTATGGGAATTTTTTTATGAGTGAAACCACATTCCTCTCAGCCACAAAATTACAGAAAGAAGGAAATGTTTCAAAAAAGCTGTTTTCTGAAAGCCTTTTCCCCGTTACCTAAATTCGGCTGACCGCGCCCGCCCTCTAGTGGAGAGAATGTATCAGCTGCAGAGTTTCTTCTGGTTGCTTGTGCTTTGTGGTATATGTGTGTGTGTTTGTGTGTGTGTGTGTGTGTGTGTGTGTACGTGCACCAGACCTGGGGCTTGAAACTCAAGGCCTGGGTACTGTCTCTGACCTTCCTTTGCTCAAGGCTAGCACTCTACCATTTGAGCCAGAAAGCTGCTTCTGGCTTTTTCTGTGTATGTGGTACTGAGGAATCGAACCCAGGGCTTCATGCATGCTAGGCAAGCACTCTACCACTAAGCCACCTTCCCAGCCCTAGAATTGTCTAATTCTTGGTTTTAACACGCCTACCACAGTACTTCCATATACAGGGGTTTTATCCTTTTTTTTTGGGGGGGAGGGGTTGTGGGGCTTAAACTCTGGGCCTGGGTGCTGTTCCTCAGCTCTTTAGCTCAAGGTGGGCGCTCTACCACTTGAGCCACAGCGCCACTTCCAGTTTTCTGAGTGGTTTATTGGAGATAAGAATCTCACGGACTTTCCTGCCTGAGCTGACTTTGAACCTCGATCCTCAGATCTCAGCCTCCTGAATAGCTAGGATGACAGGCGTGAGCTACCAGTGCCCAGTCTTATCCTATTTTATGTGTGTGTACCAGTCCTGGGGCTTGAACTCAGGGCCTGGACTCTGTGTCTGAGCTTGTGTGCTTATGGCTAGTGCTCTACCACTCAAGGCAACACCTCTATTTTTGGCCTTTTGGTGATTCATTGGAGATGAATTTCATAGACTTCTCTGCCTGGGCTGGCTTCAAGCCACGATCCTCAGATCTCAGCCTTCCAGATGAGCGTGTGCCTGGATGCAGTTCTCTTTTGCATATGGTACTTTGGTGCCAACCTCTGCCAAGTGTGTGGGGCTTTGATCCAGGACCATGTTGGTACTGTATCTTCCAGACCGTTAGCCTTTCCCAGGAGAAATAGAAACCATCTCCAACTAGAAGCTGGGTTCCACACTGAAATCCTGGTGAGAAAGAACTCCAGTGTGAGGGAGTGGGGGGGGTGGGGAGGGGGGAAGGGGGACATTCTGGCTCTTTCCCCAGAAAGATCTGGATGGGTTTGTGTGTGTGTGTGTATGTGTGTGTGTGTCAAACTTTCAAGTCTTCCCTTCTGCACACCACCTTTCTAATATCAACAAAACAAGAACCAATAAGCCAGGCAGCCAGTGGCTCACACCTGTCATCCTAGCTACTCAGGACACTGAGATCTGAGGATCCCGGTTCAAAGCCAGCCTGGGCAAGGAAAGTCCGTGAGACTCTTCTCTCCAATGAACCACTCAGAAAAACC